AGCCCTACTAGCTGGGCAAGTCATATAACTGCTGTCTGCCTCAGTTTCCTCATCTGTAAAATGGGAATAATAACAACACCTACTTCACAGGGTGGTTGTAAGAATCAGATATTTGTCTGATTTCAAGTTCAATATTATTTCAGGTTCAGTTCAGCCCAATCTCTCCCCCACCACATTCAGTTTTGAGCTGAGTTGATAGCAGATTGCAGATGTCCAAGATATATGTACCAATGCACTAATTCATTGGGCTTCCATTCAGCTGCATGCAGGGAAATATGCATTTGTCGTCCACTTGGTTTTTCCTATGCGAATTTTCAAGAAAGTTTTATTAAGCACCTGCTATGTGCCGGGTACTGTGCTGCATGCTGGGGATACAGAGAAAGGCCAAAGATAGTTCCTGCTCTCGAGGAGCTAACAATCTAATAAACAAATATTATCTTATTTGATCCTCACAACAAACTAGGAAGGTAGGTGTTATTGTTTTCATTTTACAGTTAAGGAAACCGAGGCAGACAAAGGTTAAATGACTTACCCAGGGTCACCCAGCTAGGAAGCATCTGAAGCTTGATTTGAACTCAGATCTTCCTGACTTCCTCAGATCTTCCTGCCACATAACTGGGTAGTTGGTTTTTTTTGAGTGGCCAAAAATGCCACTGAGAAGGCCTTATAACATTCTGGGGCTCAATGAAGTCAACACAGTGGAACCCACAAACAAGAGATTCTGGAAAGCCTTTCTATTTATAAGGAATCAATTTTCTGTATGTATTTTGTGCAGTAACCCTGGTAAACCCCTTTGGAGAACATGTCTCTGTTCATGCTTGTTATTTTTTTAAAATCTTATTCTCATTGACAGTTTCCATTTTTACATCATCTTCACTCTCAAATATATCCTATCCCTTTCCACTCTCCAAGAACCATCCCTTGTAACAAAGATTAGTTAAAAGATGGACAAAAGGCACTTCAGCAAAATATCAGCTATGTCTGACAGTATATGCAAGATTTCATCCCCAGAATCTGCCCTTTCTGCCAAGGAGGAAGGGAGATGCTTTTTCTCTAGTCTCCTCTGAGGACATGTTTAGTCATGATAAACAGTGTTCAGTTTCATGTTTTTGTACTTTTTGTTTACATTGTTTTAGTCACTGCACGTGCTTTTCCTGGTTCCTTTATGGTCAATATTGATCCTCAAAGGATTGTTGAATGAAGCTTTCTCTCTTTGCGTCTACAAAGGAAACTTCAATGACCTCAACGTATGCATGAGGGACATTTTTTTGGAGGAGAACCTTTAAGACTGTTTTGCTCTACTGAGTCAAATGCTCCTTTGTAATCAACCAACAATATTGTTGCAACCAACCAACAATAAAACAGCGGGCCCTTGTGTTCTCTGGGCTCCTTAGTCACTTACATGACTGAATATGTCGTCTGCTGGACAGAATGGTCTGTAAAAGCAAGCCCTTTTCCCTTCTCATATTTTCATTAAGGATGCTTTTGACACTTTGACCACACTAATAAAGATTTTACAGAGATGTGAAAGTAGACTGTGGATTAGTGGTTACTAAGAAGAAGCTTCGGGGGCAGGAAGTATTTTAGAACTACCTGTAATTTTTCCATCTTTTTGTGGTCTTTCTTTCTTGGAGATATTTTAAAAACCCATTTCTGGCTTCCTTTAAGACTGTGTCATACCTCCTCTCCATATGTACTTTGGTCAGGTCTGACCATTTCCCCTGATTTCATGTTATTGAATGATATTTTTGCTTCTTCATATAGCACACCAGGGTTTGAGATGTTTGAGTCCAGATATGGGGAGCCACTGACGAGATTGCTAGGGAAATATTGATGGGTCCATTCCATTTCACTTATATTTGTTGTTCTCCTTCCAGTTTCATCTATAAATGTTCTTGGGATAACTCAGTTTAATGGGGTCTCATATTAACTTTTCTGCAGGCTAATTATTTCTTCTACTAATTTCAAATGTCTTATGAGACAACATCTCTTATAGTATCATTTTATCCTTCAGTGTAGGTGTTGCAAATGAATGTGTGCTCCAAACCAGGGTGACCTTGGCAGCCACCCCCCTCCCTTTAGCAGTATTTTTAATTCAGGGGGACCCTAGGCTCTTTTGGATCCGTCATGTGACTCTGTTAACCATGTCTTATGGTAATAATTAGTCAATGTCTTTATTTTTATCCATTTCCCGTCTTTCAGAAGAATCAGCAACTTGTCTAGATAGATTAGGCTGAAGTTATAATTACATGTAGAGTCTTCTCATCTTTAGCCTTTCTTTTAGTTTGATATTAATTTCTACCTTTGTGTTAACAAATTAATAGTCTGACTGCACACAGACTACTGATTCTGAAATGACTCCACTTATCAGTAACTAGTTATTTCCTGTCTGTTAAGATATAATCACTTTTTCTCATCTGTAAAATAAGGGGGGTGGCTTAGATGATCCCTAGCTCAAAATCTGTGATCCTATGAAGACTAGTGCATCATGTTACACCAGTAATGTAGTATTTGTATTAGCTATTTTGTCAGTTGTAATTAAAATGCCATGCAAAACCCAATGTGGTTGACACATCGGTGGTCTTGAGCATCGTCTCTTACGACCATAGTTGAGATCTTCTGGGACTAGAAGAAGAAGGGGGGAAAAAAGAGGAGAAAAATTTGCTAGTAGTTTATGGAAAATAAGTTTTCATAATAAAAGTATTGTGCCCTTAAAAAAAGATAGGAGTTTCACTTTTCATAATATTGTTTGGTAATTTCCATATCCGATGTCTTCTGACTGTACAGATGTGAGGCTTCTGAATTGTCCCCTGGCCTTTGGGCTCTTTCATTTCTTAATTTTAAATCTTGTTTTTTTCATCCTTTCCCTTTATCCTTCACTGTGCCTGACTCCAATCAATACAATGTAAGCTCCTGGTAAGCTGTTTTCATCTAGCACGATGCCCAGCATACAACAGACACTTAATAAATGCTTGTTAAATTGAATGAAATTCACATTGAAGACATTGACTATACAGCTATAATGCTGAGTTGTTTTGGAGGATCCTTTCAAGTCCCTCATCTCTAGAATGACATCGGCAAGAGACGTAGGTGCAGGAACTGTGGGATCTTTGTAGTGGTCTGTTTGGTTATGCTCATCCTAAATACAATCAGTTCAAATGAGTTCCTGAATTCAAATCCAGCCTCAGACATTTACAAGCGGTGTGACCTTGGGCAAGTCACTTAACCCTGGTTGCCTCAGTTTCCTCATCTGTAAAATGAGCTGGAGAAGGAAATGGCAAACCACAACAGTGTCTTTGAAATGAAAACCCCAAATGGGGTCACAAAGAGTCAGACAGGACTGAAAAGACTGAACAACAACAAACACTATGAGGAGAAATGACCTAGCACTGTTCCATAAAGTTGTTTCCTTTTTTTTTCCCCTTGGATACACAATGAAATCACCTCCTTTACTCACCTCCTTCTGGAGGACCTGTGGGTTCATACTTCCATTCAGATATAACTTCCTTATATCTTCTGGTTTCATTTATAGTGAGTGAAGTGAGAATTAGGAGGCAGTTAGGTGGTGCAGTGGATGGGTCTGGAGTTAGGAAGACCCAAGTTTAAACCTAGCCTCAGATACTTACTAGGTGTATGACTCTGTATAAGTCACTTAACCTCAATTTCCTCAACTGTAAAGTGAGGATCATAATAGCATCTATCTCCCAGGATTGTTGTCAAGGTCATTCAAAGAGATATTATTTGTAAAGTGCTTAGCACAATGCCTGGCACAAATTAGAGACTATGTAAATCCTAGTTCTTATTAATAGAGAATCCAGGACCCCTCTCTATTTCATAATGAGGTATCAGAATAGGATTTCAAGTTATATATCTAAGATAATTATTACAAGTGTTAGTTTTTTTGCTCTGAAAATAGACTTCATTCCCTCTATTTCACTTCCAAATTTCTTCAGCCTTTCTTTATCCCAGGGAACTCCCCATAGACTAATGCCTCCATATTCTTTCAGTATATTTTCTATTTCTTTGTCTTCTGTGGCCAGGTACATTTGGTAAGCATGGGCCTAAATCTTCCTAACTCTAGAATTCTGTGATCGACACTACAGCAAACCAAATCGCTTTGCCCTCGGAGGTGACTAGGCAGTACCCTGGAGTTACTGGGCTGTGATTCAGGGAGAGGAGAGAGGGGTAGATGAGGGAAGAGGGCTGTGGGTCTACCCACCGATGCTGAAAAGACCGTAAGGCTCATATTTGTACTGTCATCCTGGGGACCTCCCCATGAGACTGGAGTCAAAGTGGTGCAGTGGAGGGGGACTTCCCTTCATCCTTCCCCTCCATCCCTGACTTTCAGGCTGTTCTCATAAAATTTCTTTTTCCCTTTGAACCTCACTGAGGTTTTCCTCAGATGTCTCCTTGTGGCCTTGAGGTGACCTTGGCTTCTCGAAGGCTATGTCAGCAGAGGGCAAGCCCTGACGGGTCCTACCAAACTGGAAAAGCTTTGGGGATAGGCCCAGAGAAGTACTGTGTGTGAGCCTTGCTAAGTGCAAAGAGGCACCAGGGAAGTAAAGTTTTTTGACCATGGCAGCTCATAAAATTGCCTGTTGAGGTATGAAGGAGCTAGCGTTGGGTTAGTTGGAGGGAATGCCCATGCTGATGAAATTACTGATCCTGGGAACATTTTTCTTCAAGACTCTCCTGAGTATCTACAACCTAAGGCTACCTGATCTTTGGGGAAGGGTAGCCTGGATAAACCAAAAAGCTTTCTATTGAACTTTGAAAGTAAAATCCCAAGCAAAATTTAATTGAAATGATTAGTCTTCTCTGAAGACAGGTAGGTTGCAGGGTGAAGGGAGGTCTGTTCCCAGTTGTACTAGTGGAGGGGGAGAGGGACAAGAAAACCAGTCCAGGAAGAAACACCACTGAGGGTTGATTGTAGTCTCCTCCCGCTACCCTGACACTGCACCAGCACCACCCTTCATGTCTCTCTTGTTTTTTTCTTCCAGGATTGGGGGCCCTTGTATTGCTGGTCCATGATCTCTTTCCAAGATTAGGAACCCCATCTTTGTCACCAAGTAGGTAAGGGTCATCAGTCCCCACAACCTGTCCCTGACCAGACTGACCCACTAGCTTCCCAAACCTTTCCATCAATGTCATCCCTCTTCAAACCCAATCTCAGCCTCCCAAGACAGCCCCCAACTGGACTCATGATCTCCCCAGAGCCCACACTGGCCCCTTACACTCCCCAGATCCTTATGAGTCCCTAGGTTTCCCACTCTCCAAGGTCCCTAAACTCCTTTCATCCCCCATCCCAGACCTGCTGGTCTCCCAACCCTCCAGTGTCTAAATCCTTTCTCCCATAATTGTCCCAGGAAGTGAGTGGTCAGAAACCAGGAAAGAGAATTGGAGGTGCTCCAAACCTGGCTGCTACCCCCAGAGGAGAAATGTTCAATGGGAAAGTCAATCCCTACATCAGGAATTCTTAAACTAGGGTCTATGTATAGATTTCAAGGGGTCTATGACTTGGGTAGGAAAAAATTACATTTTTATTTTCACTAACCTCTGACTGAAATTGAGCATTTCTTTCAATTATTTATAAGGCATTATTCTGAGAAAGGTCTATAGACTTTGCCAGACTGCCAGAGGGGTTCATGACACAAAAAAGGTTTAAGAACCCCTGCCCTAGATGGCCCAAGGCTAGGTTTCCATTGCTTCCCTGGGCTCTAAGTCTTGGTCAATGGAGCCTTTGACTTGCTTCTTTCTTGAGGGAAGAACCTTTGGTCCTGCCATTGAGTTTGTCACAAATTTAGGAGTCTCTTTATAGACACACGAGGTTACTTTGAGTCAGTCCCACCCCTTTTCCCTCCCACCCTCACCCCCCATGTATCCAAGACTCAACCTCTTACAAATATCTAATGAAATTCAATGTCCTTTCCTAATGAGGAAATAGCCAAACATCCTAGAAGCAGGAGCCTCAAACTCACCCACTATTTGCTAAGTTACCTAATTCATCAACTGGACAGCAAAGTGGCTCAGTGGGTAGAGTGCTGAGCTTGGAGTCAGAAAGACCTGAGTTCAAATTTGCTCTCAGACAATGTGATCCTACCAACAAGGTTGTCATGAGAGTCCAGTAAGAATATTTGTAAAGTGCTTATCAGCATCCCTGGCCCATAGTAGGTGCTCTATACATGCTTATTCCCTCCCCTCTCCTCTGTTTATACTTACACTGTGTAAATCTCAAAGGGATGAGAGACTATATAATATGACTTGGGAGGAGTGGGAGCGAGGGGAGAGGGTTGTAAGCAGCCCAAACCGGAAAGAACTAGTTTCCAAGATCTAGGTTCTAGCCCTGGCCCTGTCACTAACTCTATGTATGACTTTCTCTGATCCTTCATTTTACAGATGGGAAAAGTGGGAGGCAGTGTGGCATTGTGGAACTAGAAGGGAATTTGGGGTCAGAGGACTAGGGTTCACATCTCAGCTCTGCATCTATCTTCGTTCCCCTCTTTGGGCCTCAAGTTTCTTCATATCTAAAAAAGGGAGAGAGTAAACGAAACAGTGCCTAAAGTATCTTTGTAAGATAATTGTTCCTTTGAGTGACTTCCCCTAGGTCCCACAGCCGGTTAGTTTCAGAGCTAGAATTAGAATCCACGTCTTCAGGTCTGAGGCTCTTTCCATTACACCACCAATTGTTTCCTTTTGTCTTTGTTCTCAGCCATAAATACTCTTCACTTCTGTTCCTGCCCCTGTCAGCAAACCTTACTCTTTCCCTGATAGGTGTGTGACCGGTGCGATCAGCTATGGCCCCGTTCCTACGCATCTCCTTCAACTCCTATGAGCTTGGGTCCCTGCAATCTCCTGAGGAAAACTGTCAGCCGTTCTGTGCCGTCAAGATGAAAGAATCCCTGACCACAGGTAAGAGGGAGCCCGAGAACGAGCCCTTCCTAGAGACTCATCTACTGGAGAAGGAGGTTAGCTGAAGGATTCAGTCTTAGAGCTGGAAGGGAAGAGAGAGTATCTAGGCCAATCTTCCTGCCGCAGAATTCCCAGGCCCGGAAGGCAGGGTAGGGCAGAAGGAAGAGGCAGGTCAGGATGGATGAACCTGCAGGTCTCACAGACTGCCTGCCCTTCATCAACCAGACCCTTTCACTTCTCCCTTGCGCTGGCCGCATCATGACTACTGCTCAGTTTAATGGAGGGGGAAGGCAGAGCATCTCTTGCTTCCTCGTAGCTGCTGGGGCAGGGCTGGGCAATGGTGGAGGTCTTGCTGGTAATGAAGTTCGCAGATTGTCCCTGGTGGATAATTAGATGCGGCTGGAGTGAGCTAACCAGAGCTAGCCGGTGGGGAGATATCTTCCTGGGAGGGAGGGGTGCTTGAAGATGTGTTCTATACCCTGTGTCCCTCCACCCCACCCCCAACGACGTGGACCTCAGAGAGAGGGAAGACCCTGGTTCAGAAGAAGCCCACCATGTACCCAGACTGGGCATCGACGTTTGATGCCCACATCTACGAGGGACGGGTCATCCAGATTGTCTTGATGAAGGCGGCCGAGGAACCCCTGTCGGAGGTGACGGTGGGTGTGTCCGTGCTGGCCGAGAGATGCAAGAAGAACAACGGCAAAGCTGAATTCTGGGTGAGGGGCGCTGTCCTCGGTTGTGATGAGGAATCATCAGGGTGGGCACTCTGTGTGGATGCCCATGAATGTGTGTGTGTGTGTGTGTGTGTGTGTGTGAACACTTGAGCATATCTCCATGTGTCTTTGTATTATCTTATTTAGAATACTGGTTTGGGAATCAGAAGACCTGGATTCAAATCCTGCCTTGCATGCTTACTATCTGTATGACCTTAGATAAGTCACTTAACCTCCTTCAGCCTCAGTTTCCTCACCTTTAAAATGAGGGGGTTAGACCAGATGACCGCTGTGGTCCTTTCCAGTTCTAAATCCACGATCTCTTTGTGTCCTTGGGCAAGTTGCTAAATGCTCTCTGGGCCTCAGTTTCTTTATCTGTAAAATTGAGGAGGCTGGATGAGAGGGCTTCTGAGGTCCCTTTCAGCTTGAGATCCATGCTCTCACTCCATATCTGTCTATGTGCCTTTGTGTCTGCGAGCATACATGTATGTTGTAGCTGATAGGACCCACAGAAAGTCACTGGGCTTTGCTCCCCCCAAACAGAGATGTCTCAACAGGAAAAGGCTTTATAACTGTCCATTCCTCTGCCCCCAGTAAGACCTACTTCAGGCAAGCTAGAGCAGGGGAAGGGGCAGGTGTGAGACAGGGCCCCCGCTGACCTCTCCCCCCAGGAGAGGCTGAGGGCAGAGTCCTGGATCCATACAGGGAATATTCTTTCTGCCCCTACTTCTGGTTGCCGTAGCAGACAAAAAGATTGTAGCGGAAGGGAACGCACAGACAGTTAGGGTGAACAAACAGCAAGAGAAAAATGAGGAGCCACTGACCTGTAGGTGCCAAATACTGTAGTCCAGACTGGGGCCAGCAGGGCTGAGGAGCTGCAGTGGAGTCAGGAAGGGAAGGTTCCCTTAAAGAGGTGAGTTTTTTAACCAAGTGAGCTGGTGTGTATGTGTGAGCCAGAGGACATGTGTGCCCTGTCTGGTGTCCCCGTGATCCAGAGTGTGTTTGTGATGTTCTAGGTTGGGTGGCCTTCTCTCTGAAGGCTGAGGACCCCCTGCCTCCCATCTGGGCTCTTCCTCTCATCAGACCAGCTGTTGGGTGGGGGCAGGAGTGGGGGTGGGGAGTTTCCCTTCCTTCTCATTCTGTCCCTGGGCCTCGGCTGGGGTTAGAGCCTTTCAGTTCCCCAAATGTGACAATACTTCATGGGGGATGGGGACCCTGCCTCTCACTTCAAAGACCCTTTCCTCTACACTGGACATCCATTTGGATGAAGATGTTTGGTGGGGCTGCAGCCTGAGGGGATGGGATCAGAGGGAGCCTGACTGGTGACTGGGTATGACTAACAATGCAGTGCCTGGATGGAGAAATAGACCAAGGGATGGAGGCCTGAGGGCCCAGGGCAGGGCCTGGCTCTGGGACTCCTGCCCTCTCCTCATGGGTACACCTTCTTGTCTCCTCAGCTGGACCTGCAACCTCAGGCCAAGGTACTCATGTCTGTCCAGTATTTCCTGGAAGATACAGGTAAGGGATGGTTAAACAGGGCCTCACATTGTGTGCCTGGGCCCTGCTGGAAATGGGGTGGGGTGGGGTGGGGGAGTGGACATGCCTATCCTGTAGCAACAGGAAGAGGTAGAAGACTAAGCTCAGGGCAATGACAAACACGGGGTTCAGACTATAGTCTCCTAGACTTACTAAGCTCTGTACGTGAGTGGTGCTAACCCTCCAGCAGGACAGATCACCCAGTTTCCTCCTCAAGTTTGGTTCAGAGGGGGTGGAGCAGAAGATTTTGGGGAACCAGTTGCTGTTGCCTGCTATGGATTACCCAAGTGGACTTTCCTCATCCTCCCCTAACCCCAGTACCTTGTACTCAAGTCTCCTCTGAGGCTGACTCTCTCTACCCAGCCCCACCTCCCATTTCCTATTCAGAAAAGCTGAGTAGTCCTGGCCTTACCACTCACTCATTGTGTGACCTTGGATAAGTCCCTTCCCCTCCTGGCCTCTAAAATTAGGTTGAAGTGCTCTGAGTGCCTTTCTAGGCTCTGATGTGCCTAGACTTTAATGACTCTGGAATCTCCAGGCTAAGGTCTTCTGGTGTCCTCCCCAGATTGCAAACAGTCCATGAGGATGGAGGATGAGAGCAAATTCCCCACCATGAACCGACGAGGGGCCATCAAGCAGGCCAAAATCCATTATATCAAGAACCACGAGTTCATTGCTACCTTCTTTGGCCAGCCCACCTTCTGCTCGGTCTGCAAGGACTTTGTTTGGTGAGTGGCAGGGAAGGTTCCGGGGGAGGGGAGAAGGGGAGTCAGGCTCCCAGAATGGGGATGGGTTTGAGGAGAGCTGGGGAGGTAGGGCAGGGGCTGCCTTGAGAAGTCTGAGGAACTGGGGGGAGGGATTAGGACAGCTCCTTTGGAGGCTAGGACTTCTTCTAGGGGAGGGAGGAAAGGTCATGCCTCACCTGGTCTCTCTGTCTTGGTTTTTCAGGGGCCTTAACAAGCAAGGCTACAAATGCAGACGTAAGTGTGAGCTTGGGTGTGTGGGTGTGTATATCGATGTAGGTGTGTTTGTGTGTCCCTGGCACTTTTGTGTGTGCACATGTAAATGTATGTGCCACTGTACAAATGTGTGAGTGTGTGAACTATGAAGGAGGTTGCTTGAGCCCTGTCCTAAGGAGAAAGGAAAAGGTATCCCTTCTGTCCAGTAGCCCTTCTGTACTGCCCGTCCCCTAGGGTATCCGTTCCCCAGAGAGCCCTGTACTGCTACCCCCCACCAACCTCCTCCCTGTGTTCCCTAACACCTTCTTAGGATCTCATTCTCCCTGTACTCCTAGATGGTGCCTTCCATCCACTAGGTCCCTCTCTCCCTCTGGATCCCTCCGTGGCCTCCCCATCCCCTTTGTGCCCCCATTCTGGTCATTATTTCCTCTTCCTCTCTTCCCTTAGGGCATATGGTAACCAGGCAGGTAGAAGGTGGGGAGGGGAAAAGAATCAGTCCTTTGGCCCAGATGCCTCCCTAATGGTGTGGGAGGCTACTCAGGCAGGCCAGGAGAACGGGAAACTTTGTGCCTGGGGGATGGGTAGTGTTGGGTGCCTGCTCATAGTCTCTGCCCCCTGCCCTGCATCTCTTCCCTCCCCCCTGCCCTGGCCTTGCCTCCCCAAGAATGTAACGCGGCGATCCACAAGAAATGCATCGACAAGATCATCGGCCGGTGCACGGGCACGGCGGCCAACAGCAGGGACACCATGGTGAGAAGGGATGTTGGGGCAGGGTGGGACCATCACGATGACCAGAAGGGCACAAACTAGGGGCCTCATAGTGAGAGTGGGTGAAACTGCTAGGGAGGGGCCACAATCCTTTGGGAGGACTTTTGTAGGAATTAGGGGCATGGGGTTGTTTTCAGCGTATGTGGTTGGCACCCACATACAACCTAGTCTTTCTTCAAAGCAGTCGAGGTAGTGAAGGCTCTGAGTGGTGCTAGGTGTCCCCATCTGAGGCCTTCATTGCAGAGGAACTCTGTACCCCTCCCAGTGAGGGGCTGGCTCCTAGCAGCCTCTGGGATGGCTCTTCCTGTAACTTCTGAGGAGGGGTGCCCTTTGGGAGGTGGGAGTAGAGATGACATGAGGAAATCCCTAGAAGGTTTAGTGCTCCTCTGGGCTTCCTCCCACTCCCAGCTCCCAGCTCCCAGCACCATCCTTGCCTGTGACTTGGGCCTTCTTTCTGGGCCTGCTTTCACCTCTGAAGTGGCGTGGATTAGGCCGCCTTTAAGTCATCTGACCATCTGTGACTTGAGTTCTGTCTGACAGTTGGAGGGCTAGATGGTGGGGGCAGGGGAGTGGGAGGAGGAGACAGGGACTCACAGTGTGTTCCTTACGCTCTCCTCAGTTCCAGAAGGAGCGCTTCAACATAGACATGCCACATCGCTTCAAGGTGTACAACTACATGAGCCCTACCTTCTGTGACCACTGTGGGAGCCTGCTCTGGGGACTGGTGAAGCAGGGCTTAAAGTGTGAAGGTTTGTGAGCAAGAAGCAATGGCGGGGCGCCTAGGGGAAAGTGAGGGGAGATGGAGAGGAATAGAGAGGGAGGGGGTCTGAGGGAGCCTTCGGGGAGAAGTAGCCACAATTCCAAACTCAGAGCCCTAAGCCTATCCCTCTGCCCACGGAGACATCCAGGTGGAGATATGTTGGAGGTAACTGGAGATGCAAATCGAGAGCTCAGAAAGAGAGGTCAGGGCTGTGTGCTCATTGACTGAAAGTATTGATTGGAGAATTATCTAGTGAGGTGGTGGTTGAAGCCATGGGAGTGAAAGAAACTGAGGACAAGACTGGAGCCAGAGAAGAGTTTTTCAAAGGCAGAGCCTTGGGGAACATCCACACTGAGGAGGGATTGAGGATAGTGGGGAGCTGGTAGAGACAGGAGGAGTTGTCAAAGATGTAGTGTCTCTGACGCTGATGGCAGAGAGTGTTCGGAAGAAAGGGGACGGGTTTACTCATTAGTGCTCCAGTATGGGACTCTTTTCACCTAGGCAATGCAGTGCATAGAGTGCCAGGTCTGGAGTCAAGAAGACTCATCTTCCTGAGTTCAAATCTGGCCTCAGACACTTAGTATCTGTATAACCCTGGGCAAGTCACTTAACCCCTCTCATCTTCATTTTCCTCATCTATAAAAAGGGGATAATAATGGTACCTTCCTCACTGGGTTGTTGTGAGGATCAAATAACCTAAATATGTAAAGAGCTTTCAAACCTTAAAGTGCTATATAAATGCTGGAGCTATTATGATTATTTTTTATTATGTAATATTGCCTCTTGGATAGAAGTAGGTCAAGGTGTATGTAAATTTCTTGCCTGAAATCTCATTTCTTTGAAGAAGGAAAGAAGGAAGGAAGGAAGGAAGGAAGGAAGGAAGGAAGGAAGGAAGGAAGGAAGGAAGGAAGGAA